TTGGAGGGTTCCTGCAGGGTTTGGGGTTGGAGGGTTTCTGTAGGGTTTGGGGTTGGAGGGTTTGGAGTTGGAGGGTTCCTGCAGGGTTTGGGGTTGGAGGGTTTCTGTAGGGTTTGGGGTTGGAGGGTTTGGAGTTGGAGGGTTCCTGTAGGGTTTGGGGTTGGAGGGTTTCTGTAGGGTTTGGGGTTGGAGGGTTTGGAGTTGGAGGGTTCCTGCAGGGTTTGGGGTTGGAGGGTTTCTGTAGGGTTTGGGGTTGGAGGGTTTGGAGTTGGAGGGTTCCTGCAGGGTTTGGGGTTGGAGGGTTTGGAGTTGGAGGGTTCCTGCAGGGTTTGGGGTTGGAGGGTTTCTGTAGGGTTTGGGGTTGGAGGGTTTGGAGTTGGAGGGTTCCTGCAGGGTTTGGGGTTGGAGGGTTTCTGTGGGGTTTGGGGTTGGAAGGGTTGGGGTTGGAGGGTTTGTTTCTGTAGGGTTTGGGGTTGGAGGGTTTGTTTCTGTAGGGTTTGAGGTTGGAGGGTTTGGGTTGGAGGGCTCCTGCAGGGTTTGGGGTTGTAGGGTTTCTGTGGGGTTTGAGGTTGGAGGGTTTGGGTTTGGAGGGTTTGGAGGGTTTGAGGTTGGAGGGTTTGGGTTTGGAGGGTTTGTTTCTGTAGGGTTTGGGGTTGGAGGGTTTCTGTGGGGTTTGGGGTTGGAGGGTTTGGGGTTGTAGGGTTTGTTTCTGTAGGGTCTGGGGTTGGAGGGTTTGTTTTTGTAGGGTCTGGGGTTGTAGGGTTTGTTTTTGTAGGGTTTGGGGTTGGAGGGTTTGTTTCTGTAGGGTTTGGGGTTGTAGGGTTTGGGGTTGTAGGGTTTCTGTAGGGTTTGGGTTGTAGGGTTTGGGGTTGTAGGGGTTGGGTTGGTAGGGGTTGGGAGTGGAGGGTTGGGTTTGTGGGTTTGTTTTTGTAGGGTTGTTTCTGTAGGGTTTGGGGTTGTAGGGTTTGTTTTTGTAGGGTTGTTCCTGCAGGGGTTCAGTTTGTAGGGTTTGGGGTTGTAGGGTTGTTCCTGTATGGTTTGGGTTTGTGGGGTTTGGGTTTGTGGGTGTTGGGATTGTAGGGTTTGTTTTTGTAGGGTTGTTCCTGTATGGTTTGGGTTTGTGGGGTTTGGGTTTGTAGGTGTTGGGATTGTAGGGTTTGTTTTTGTAGGGTTGTTCCTGTACGGTTTGGGTTTATGGGTTTGGGTTGGTAGGGGTTGGGGTTGTAGGGTTGCGTTTGTGGGTTTGGGGTTGGAGGGTTTGTTTTTGTAGGGTTGTTCCTGTACGGTTTGGGTTTGTGGGTTTGGGTTTGTAGGGGTTGGGTTTGTAGGGTTTGGGTTTGTGGGTTTGGGTTTGTAGGGTTTGTTTTTGTAGGGTTGTTCCTGTACGGTTTGGGTTTGTAGGGGTTGGGGTTGTGGCTTTGTAGGGTTTGGGTTTGTAGGGTTTGGGTTTGTAGGGGTTGGGTTTGTAGGG